CCTCACATTCTCTCAATTACTTAACTTCCAGTGCCATTCTCAGATAATTCTTGACTTTTTCAGCATGTTCTGTGTATCTGTGTAAGCAAGCGAAATGTTGAAAAGCTAGAACTTTGGTGTCATTACGGCAGGGCTTAGGAGGAGAGTGTGTTTGTTATCTGAAAGGCATCGTGAAAGCGCTGGAACTGCACCTGCCTCTTAAAAGATGAGTTTCAGTTAAACAAGAGCCTGAATGTGACTGGATGTTGGACTGCCAGAGCCAAGTCTTGGGCATGTGCAGAGTACTGTGAGCTTGGCTTTGGCCTTGGGAACTGCCAACTACACATAGCCTTGAGGGTCCAGCAGAGCACTCGCCCCCACCCTCGTCCCCGTGTTAAACATGATACGAAAAAGCGAACTGATCCTAGAGATCATGGAGAAAGACATTCCTTGGCTGACTTAGTTACAAACTCCAGTGCGTGCAAAAGTTTGCAAAAAGCTTCAAGGCACCCGCACCTTTTGCAGCTCATCTCAGGACCTTCAAAGAACCCTGCAGCCAACACCTGGGAGACTAGACGGGAGGTAATTGAAACTGTGATGTGCTGATCAAAGCCCAACCAGCACAGTGATAATAGAGGTAGAGACACATATGCCAAGGAAAATGAGCAAAATTAGGTATCCCCTTGCATATGGAAATGAAAGAAGACTAGAGAATATTCAGAGATGTGGATATGCAACATTCTGCAAAGAGTCTCAGGGCAGAATTAGCCATGGTTTTGTGCTTATTATTTTATATGCTCCCATTTATAATTGGAAAAAGGGCCCAGCGTGGTAGCCTAGCAGCCATAGTCTTCACCTTGCGCTCGCCAGGATCCCATATGGTTGCAGGTTCTGATCCTGGCGGCCCTGCTTCCCATCCAGCTCCCTGCTTGTGGCCTGGGAAGGCAGTTGAGGATGGCCCAAAGTTTTTGGGACCCTTCACCTGCATGGGAGACCCAGAAGAGGCTCTGGGTTTCTGGGTTTGGATCAGCTCAGCTCCGGCTGTTGCAGCTGGTTGTGGAATGAACCAGCAGACAGAGGACCTGCCTCTCTGTCTCTCTTCCTCTCTGTATATCTGACTTTCCAATAAAAATAAATTAAAAAAAAAAAAGTTATGGAAAAGAAAAAAATAGGCAAGTAAAAAGGTTCATAATGCCTTGAAATCCATTAAAAGAGATTGTCAAGACCTGGAGCTTACAGTGAGTTAGCTGCCTGCTCAGTTGAGCTCGGTTAGACAAGGCGAGATGCCTTCCTCATCACGGCTGAAGCCAGGAGTATGTGCGCTGAATTTACAGCTTCTTAAAATAAGAGTCAATAAAAAAAAAAATTAAAAACAACAAGTGTCTGCAACTCAACTGGGGAGAAAAACCTTTTTTTTTCCCTCCTGCCACCACATTTCAATTTTCATCTATTTATGCTGATTTTAATATAAGTGTTTACAAACTTGTAACCCAGAGAGGAGGGGTCTGTTGCCCTCCATATGTAAGTTGGGTCATGAATGCCTAAACTGTTTTATGTGCAACGATATTTGTAATCAGATGAAACTCAAAAATTTCATCGGACTCTGAAGTGGTCTGTACTTCACTTTCTTCGAATCTGTAATCAGGAGCGCCGCTCATCGCGCTTTATAATTTGGGGGCTTTTAAGTGGTCAGGGGAAGGTGACATCTGGGTACAGACACATCTAAAGCCATCGTCCTCCTAACAGCCAGAGGATAATTTTAAAACCTGGCGTGAAGAAAGGTAGAGTCTGTGTGTTTGAGGCTTGTTGGGAGGGTGGTCGCCTCCTCCCCGACCCCAGGGGTTTACGTGAGACAGTTCTCTTTGGTGCTCTCAGGACGGCAGCCTGGGCCCAGGCCACACTGCTTGGAGTGAGGGCGCGGCTGCGGTGACCAGCCGGTTTAACTGCAGGCTCTTCTTAGCAGTAAACCACACGCCTGTATTCATCACTGATTTTCAAATGATAGGGTTCTCTATCGCTGGTTTAAGATCCACAGCCTTGCATTCCTGAATCTATATTATGCCAAAGGAATAACAATTTGGTGGCTGGAAACAAAAATGGTTATTATACGGCTCCAAAATGCTCATTGGCACAGTATGCTAAGAACAGCAGAAATTCACCCGTAAGAAGCAGAATGTATTTGTTCTTAAAAATAGCCCCATGCTCTAAAAATATGGATTAAGAAGTATCATCGTGGTTCAAAAATATTTCGCTTTCAATATGTAAGTGCCTTAAAGCATGCAACTTATTGTCTGAAACGGCGTCATCTCCAAGCAGCGGGCAAATATTTCAAGAAGAAGATAGAATGCTTTTTAAATCATTGAGTCGGAGGTGTTTGCCAAATGAACAGCTCTGATGGATGTCTAGCTTTCTGTGTCTCCCGCCACGCCAGGTCAGTGTTTTAAAGAACGAGCAAGAGGTCTTAGGCTGTGCTGGCACTTCTGAGCACCCTCAACGAAAATTAGCAAACAAGCGAAGAAAGCTTTCTTCAGAACATGCGTGACGTGTTTCCACTTGCTGGCCGTGGCCCAGTACTCCTCAATCTCAGCATGACATCTCTTCATGAGGCGGTTTTACTTCCTCGTAGCAAAATAGCTCCTCCATGCAAACCAGTATCGGCACCCACCAAGCCGGGGTTTTAGTTTCTTCTGATGTGTTCAAGCTTCATTGCACTGCCTAACTGACTATTTTTTCCCCTTCTTTTGAAATCACCCAGCTAATTTTCCATTTGATTGTTTACTCAAGCCAGATCTCACGCAGGCTGAAATATGTTAGTGTGTCCGTCTGAACTTCAGCTGGCAAATTTTGTCATTCTCTCTGTATCCAGTGCGATCTAGAGCCGCAGAGGCCCTGGAGTGGAGAGTAAGGCTTCAAGAAACTGGGGTCTCTGGATACTGTGCTTCAGCAGGCAGTTCTTCCAAGTGAAAATACTCTTTGTAATTCTGCTCATGAGAATGGGTCAAAGTATTTTTTCCTATGATTGCTTTTGCCACCAACATCATCCAAATGACCCTTCACAGAAAACTGTGGCTTTTGACACATCCACCCAGGTCTGGAGGGTTTGGTTTAGCTGATTTTCTTGACGTTTTTATAAGAGAAGCATAATTTCCATTCAGATTCAGCCAACATTTCTTAAACCATACTGTGTACTCAGCACATGTTTTTGGGGTATTTCATTTGTTTTACAGGGGGTTTTGTTTCCCAGGGACTTTGAGATTTTTATGTACAATCTGATTGACAGATTTAATCTTGTAGTTGTGTGTGTTATATTTAGCCTGTTTATTCACGCATAAAATGGTACAGGTAAATGTATGGATGCAAAAAGTAAGGGTGCTTTGTACAATGTATCTCAAATACATTTTGATTTCAGGAATGTTCCCATAAATAGTTTCAAAACGCATCAATGCTCTGCCTGCATGATTCGTTTTTGCCAGCCCCCTGCTCCCCCTCTGGCCAGCACAAACTTATCTCCAGACTGTTCCACACTGCTACAGCTCCCTAGGCTGTGCATCAGCCCAGCATCAGTAGATCTCTGCCACTCACTCTGAAACCTCTGTGGGTCTATGTTTCTGCCCGATCAGCCCAGGACCCTGTGGCCTGGAATTCAAGGTCTCTGTAGCTTGACTTCCGGGTCCCAAGGGTAGGGGGTTCTCCAGCACCCCTCTCTTTCCATAGAACAGGTTCCTCAAGGAGTCGCCCACTGTGCTCTCTCTATCCCTGCCTTGCTCTTTGCCCAGCACCTAGACACAAACCTTGCAGTCCTATCCTCTCCATCTGTGCTCTCCTCTGCTAAGACACCTTATTGGAGAACCTCCCACCCAGGAGCTGAAGATCCTGCATCTGGATTACTCTGCGGGCCCCCCGCCTCGTCTGTCTCTGTCACTCCGGGTGTGTTTTCCACAGGTCTTCATCCGATGATCACGGAGGCACTACCGTGCCCTGGGAAGCCTGGCACCTGTCTGGCATCCTCACTGCACAGCACACAGTGCTGTCCAGCCAGAGCCAGGAGACACTTTGGTTTTGTGATGCTAGTGATGCTATCGATGACAGTAACAATGACATTTAACCGTCCCCGTAGCGAGCCTCAGTAAACATGTAGAGTTGTCCAGCAAGGGTTGTTGAGTAAGGTGCTTGGTCTGTCTTAGTCTCCAACTCAGGCAAGGGGAGGAAGCAGGCAGAGGGCTTTGTGAATTCAGGTTGAATTTCTAATCAATATCCATAGCTCTACCCATGGATAGGAGGAGAAGATACAAAAGGATGAGACTAAGGCAGAAACTTAGGGAGATCCTCTCAGTCTTCCTACTGGATGGTTTTCTGCAGTGTTTGGTCCATCAGCACCTGGACCAAGGTACTGTCAGCTCATATGGTTCCGAGAAGGAGTCTGGGTCTGGGAAGTCCTGAGAGGGCCTGCGAACCAGGCTCTCCAGGTTTGCACACTGCACTGGATGCGTGTAAGTAGGAGAAAACTTTAGGGAGAAGTCCCTTAGAGAAAAGGGGAACTGGTGGTGGACTCTGTAAGTGGCTTCCCCTTCTCCTGCAAGTCCTAGAAATTATAGGCCTACGGTATAACCTTTCTTCATTTAAGGACACATAGACACACAAAATAAAACCCAAACCATTGAACTGAAAGAATGAGTCACCCCAGCCAGGCCTCTGCCAAGCTAGTTAAAGTGCAAACCAATTCTGTTGCTTTTCTTAGACCCTGTACAACTGTCTGAATTTCTTCCTGAAATTCTTTAATATGAGAAATAAATGGGTGCTGACTTGTGAGCAAGTGAATATACACTAGCTGTGTTCCCATCAGGAGTTTTTCATCTTCCTTTGGGAGAATACCAAAGGACTGGCAGCCTGGGAGAAGCCCTGCATCCTGTGGTGCAGCCATGTGCGTGGCCTGTGGTTCTCCTTGTTAGGCTCGGCTGTCAGGGCTCCTGTGTGGTGTGGCTTCTCTGGAGGCACCGCTGAGTGTTGCTTTGTGTTCACAGGGAATGGATACGGCAATCCCCGAAACTCACCAGGTCTGCTGGTCTCACCTGGGAACTTGAACAAGAATATGCAAGCGAAATCGCCTCCCCCCATGAATCTAGGAATGAATAATCGTAAACCTGATCTCCGAGTTCTTATTCCACCGGGCAGCAAGAGTGCAATGCCATCAGTGGTAATGCCAACATACTTTTATTTAGTAGATGTTGAGACTGTGGTGTTTATATTTGCTGTTTGGGGATAGGTCTAATTTCATAAATGACTTAAGTTCTCCCTCTGCTCCCAACATTGATTGACCCATCAGTACTATTGGTGCAGCCCTGTTTGGGTGTAACTATTATTTCTGGTAACTAATTTGCATTACCCTTTTATGAGTAAATAAGGGCCAGCATCCAGTCAAACTCTGCGTAACACTGGGGTTCTGGGAAGGAACTGGGTTTCTTAAAAGGAAAATGTTTCTTTTTAAGGCTTCTCATTCAGCTAGAACAAAGTCACATGTTCCTATTGGCCCATGAGTTCCAGAGTAAAACTGGATGGGGTATTTCATAACATAGTATTTTTACAGTGTGGAGCTATTTGTGTTCTCAAGGTGCTGACAGGGAGGGATGTGGCTGTCCATATTTCTAAGTGAATGTTCAGCTGTTGATTGGCGTATCCCTTCCTGCAGCACAGCGATGGCTAATGCCTGGTGTGCCTGCACCTGCCTCAATTGTCTCTCACGTAGGTCACTTCATGACAGAGGTACTCTCTCAAAAGCCGACGATGCCAAAAATGCTATTTTCAGAACAGAGATTTTTATTTTATATCAGAACAACAGTGTTGCACTTGTAAGAAAAAAATAGATAAGAAACATATAATGAAATACATAGAATCTCCCCAGCCCCATCCTTGTCCTTCATTCACGTCTGCAACCCTCAGATGAGAATAATACGGAATCCAACAACAACGAGATTGACTTATGTGTTTTCCACATGAACTTTGCTTAAGAGGGAAGAGGTTTAAAATCAAGATTCAGTAGACCAATTTAGATTGTTCTGCAAACATGTCTCCTTTTCTTCTTCTTCTTTCTTCTCTTTCTGTGCTCTGTGACAAGCTTCAGGGTCACACAGCCCCACACGTTGATTAGTTTATTAAGGTCCAGTGCAGATGAAATTTAAAAGTGACCTACCCCGCCCCCCAAAAAAATCACGGAACACGCAGCATCCCCTCTGGGAAAGGCTGGATCCAATCAATTAAGCCTCCCCTAGGGCACCAGTCAGGCAGTATGAGCCATGTGTGCCCAAGTGTCCCCATCGGCTGATGCCCTGTTGCTTGCCCTAATGCCTTCCCACGGATGCTGCCTGGAGTGGGTCACTGGTTGGTCGGGGCTTCCCCTGGCAGCCAGGTGGGGGTCCCTCCTTCAGCACGTGGGCTTCCCAAGCACAGACCCATCTTACGTGGAGTGATGAAATAATGAGCATGGAGACACTGACCTGTTCTGAAAATGGGATGGATGGTCTTCACATTTAAGGCAAACACCTCATTAAGGGGAACAAAGAATGCCTTTGTAGGGAGTTATCTGCAGAGTCTGGCTTTCAAAACTGTTTAAACTGTTGTGTCTATCAGACGCTGCTTTTCCTTTTGTTGGAAAGATTTTGCCCCTTTATAAATATTTACCGGCACTAATCACTCCAACTCCTTCCCCACGCTCTCAGTCTGAGGATGTCGACTTGCTCTTGGTGAGTGGGGAGAGGGCTTCTCTCTGGGAGGGTCTGAGACAAAAAAAGGCCCACGGCTGCCTTCGGGGAGGTGGTAGCTGCGTGTGACCAGAGCCTGTGACTGCAGACAGTATCTAAATGGCATTGATCTCTAGCGGCACTCACAGGTGAAAAGAATGCCAGATTGTTTATTATTTCAGTCCCAACCTCTGCAGCTGAAGACCGTCTTTCCCATAACTGCGGACTTAATTTACAGTTAAAATTCAGAGGCACACAAACACACACACACAAAGTGGCTTTGGTTGCATATAACCAAGGTATTTATTTTTCCAAGAATGAAAGTGTCATGACTTTAAGTTTGGGTGGCTGTGGAGTTGCTTTGCTGCAAGGAGTTAAACGCACCTTGGCAGCCAGGCCTTCCTTGGAGGGAAGTTTCCAAGGGACCTGAAGAAGTGGTCAGAGCACCACCTGCTGGGCATACCTTCACATGTGCCCTGCCCATGGCTCTGCTGTACACAGAAGTGAATGTAAAAACCATCATAGTGAGCTTTCGTGTTTCTTTTAATTTACATTTGAATAAAAACTGAAACAATGAAAGTACAGTGTACATATTTCATCAGTTTTCCACATAGTCTGTTTTTACCCATAATAAAGCAGTGGTACTTGTAACTAGTTCAGTTGCCTAGGAGATACTGATGTAATGGGTTACCATGGCAACAACTGGTCTCTTGAAAGGTTGTAAATGATAGGGTTGGCAGAGTTCATAGAGACACATGTTAAATGATTAATTTCATGAGCTTTGTACCAAGTTATATCTAAGAGCAAAACTCATGCTGAAATCTCACGTTTTTAACGTTCTCAAGAAAGTCCATCAATAATGTCTTTTTATTTACTTTAAAAGAATCAGAGGATAAATAACTCCCAGTCGGCTCAGTCGTTGGCTACCCCGGTGGTTTCCGTGGCAACCCCTACTTTACCAGGACAAGGAATGGGAGGATACCCATCAGCCATTTCTACAACCTATGGTACCGGTGAGTGCCTTGGCCATGTGCAAACAGTGCATGGCATACCTTTTATTTTAAAAAGATAAGATGGAAAAAAAAAGCATTATCTGTTATTCTATGAGATAACTGGGATTTGATAGCTGTGGATTCCTGGGTACTATACATGTCCTATTCTTCATGAAGATGAAGTGAAAACCGACCTTTCCCTGTCTCAAGTGACACAAAGTTTGGTTTACCCAACCTCAGACTAGAATGGTGGCAAAAACAAAAACAAACACCAAACCAGAGCTGTTATTTCTTTAATATACAAGAAAGCTCACTTTTGCAGGATTGTTGAAAACATGCTCCTCAATTGTGAAACACATATATTCCGTTCCTTCTAGATATGTGTGTGATATTATGGAATCATAGGCTGTATGACTTGAAGCTCTCATGAAATACCTACCCTGATATATGACATATTCCTGTTGCTTTAACCCCATTCTCCTGCATAAATTTTTTGAAACAATGATTGCTAACCATAAATGCCAGTAGAGCACTGTTGAAACCGACATGTATGTGCTGTTGACTGCTTAATAATTGCGTGTCTCAGATGCCCCCTTCTTGTCCTCTTGTTTGTTCTAGAGTATTCTCTGAGCAGTGCAGACCTGTCATCTCTGTCTGGGTTTAACACCGCCAGCGCTCTCCACCTCGGCTCAGTCACCGGCTGGCAACAGCAGCATCTACATAGCATGCCACCGTCCGCCCTCAGCCAGTTGGGGTAAGCAGCATTATCTCTTCTGTGACGTCACTTTCAAATGCATCTTTACGTGACCATGGCCATCTCTGAGTGCATGCTTTCATAGCCCGTGGGTCAGAAGATTCAGCTTCATGGAAACCTGGAAATGACTGTCAGCAGTCCCTTTGAAGTGACTACATTCCTTGTTCTTTGCAAGAACGGGGGGTCTCTGTGATGTTGAGGTGAATTCCTGTGTGTTTAGGCCACATTTTGCTTCCTCTTTTGTAAAAGGCAGAGCTGTCATCTGAATTTTTGCCCAGTTCACATGGGACGTGGATATGTAGAGAAGTTGCTTTGAGCGTTTTAAGACACTGGAGAGTCTCTCACTTGCACAGACTACAAAGCTCATGCATTGATAGATTATAAGCACTCCAGGAACATTTGTGTATTTATAGTTACCATATGAAAGTAATCTCTGAAGATGTGGCTGATTAGTACAAGCAATACTATAAATTGGGTTATAAAAATTGTTTCTATTTGCTGAAGACAGACAATGTGTCTTTCTGCCCCCTTGTGGCAGTTCTGAGATAGGCCTTTATCATAGAAACAACTCATGTCATTGAAACAGTACTTCACAATATTTCTTACAAAACAATCCTTAGTTCTTAAAAAATAATAATAATAATAATTAAAATGTGAACTAAGTGAGGGACCTGAGTTGAACTTTAAGTTAAACTGCATATAGTCTTCAAGAGGGAATATGAAGAGATCATATAATATTTCCAGTTAAGTTTCTAGAGAAACATTCTACACACTGAACTCACTTTGGCTTTTCTGCTGAACCATTTGTTTTATTAATGAACTATTTTAACACCCACACTTCTAAGGAGACAGGGAGACAAAGATGAATTGGAATAGCAGTCCCTGACCGATAGCACATTCCTCGTCTGCCTCTCCTACTTTCACGGAGATGAGTGATCCCGTGGCGTCTTGCAGTCATTCTTGCTCCGTGTGCCCCCTGTTCGTTTAGGACAATCATTGAGACACATTGGTGAGGTGCTCCCACACTCGCTTGAAGGATCAATGCATCAGGTATTTATCAGCATCAGAGTGACTCTTCCTGAGACGTGTAAGCTTTCTCTGGAATGTTCACTCTCAAGCAGACCTAAGAACACAATCACCAACGTGGGTGGGTGGCATCACACTGCTGTGCATAGCGGTAAATCGCTGTGCCTACTTCTCATCAGAAACAAAAGTCACTCTACTTCTCATTGGGTGCAGAATCCATCCTTTGTAGGGTTAGATTGCCCTAGAAATTACCGGTGTCAAAAAAAAATCAGGCTCTTTGAATGTGACTTTTTTTTATATGACACTTGACAATGTGCTTTCTCACCTACAAACGTGTGTGTGTGTGTATGCCTTAACTGGAGAACCATTTCACATTTTCTTCTGCGCTGTGCAGAGAACCTTGTTCCCTGGTGCCCTTAGCAGAGATCTACATAGATGAGACTGCACACACAGTCCTAGTAGAGGGAGACCAAACAGCGACAGCCAAGCTTGCAGCCTTGGGTTTCTTGGGCTCCGAAGTTTCTCTGTCCACTTGAGTGACAACCGATCACTTCCTAGTCCCTCGGATCAGCAGAATGGCCCAGTCAGTCTTACTGACACCCTCTGTCTCCCTGTGTCATGGACACACGCACACACACAGCACATGACATCACGCCTCCCAGCAGGACTCCAGGATGTCCTCAGCAAGGGAAGCCGCACACACACGCACACACACACACACACACACACACACACACCATACCTTTTTGCAAGAAGATTCTTTCCAATGGATACCCCATGTTCACACCATGAAATTCTTCTCCCAAAAATCCCAATTCATAATATTTCTGTAAAATACATGCATGAGCTACTTTAGTTCCTGGCAGCTTCTCCAGGCCTGAATGATCACACAGAGTTGTGTTGTGGGTACATTTGCTTAGATGGCTCCAACCTCCAGCCCACATCATGGACTGTGACCAACTCCCTGGAGTAGGTACTCCCAGCAGCCCAAGATAGTGACCGCAGTTTTCAGAATTGCAAAAGTACAGATGAAGTATTCATATTTTTTGTCCTTTTAAGTTTTAAATTTTCAAAGCTGTCCTTTATTTTATTATCTGAGATAACATATTTTTGGCTCACATTATAATCCGAGATTTAAGGGCTCAGCTAAAGAAAGAGTTCAGTAAACAAACAAAAAACAAGACTGTAATCCAGCAGAAAGATGGCAAGTGCTGAAAACCACAGTTAGATGAAAAGTTGCTCGGCTTCACTCATAGAAAGTCAAATTTTAAATAGTCACAAAATCAGTAATGCTAGAGTAGTGCATAATTGCTATCCGTTTGTCAAATATTTAAAACCAACCATTGACAAAAAAATAAAAGGTATTTGCAGCAAAGCTGCCAAACACAGGTAATTTTTTATATTTTGTTTAGCTCTCACATACAAGGGAGATGTTGCATTTGTCTCCCTGTGTCTGGCTTGTTTCATTCAACACAATGTCCTCCAGCTCTTTCATTTTTTGAAACTGTGTGGTGTCTGACTTTATCTGACCGAGATTGCGTGTAGAGAGAAGTGTGACTGGCAGAGAAAGCTGCCAAGTAGAATTAAGGTGTCGTTTGAATACTGATACTTGAGTACAAGTTTTAGACATTTTTCTCAGTCACCGTCCTAAAAAGAGTGTCCTGACAGCATTTGCATGCCTCACACGTGTTGATGTGCGTGCCCAGGAGAGATTACATAGAGAAGAGTTTTGAAAGCTCAGGTTAAATGCCTTTGATAGTCTTAACTTTCAGGTGAAGGCAGTGAGAAACGCAGATAAATCTCTCTAGCCACTTTTCGTTCTGAACAATGATGGGAAAGCACAGGCACCATGTACACCTAGGAAGGACTGCCTCTGGCCTTTCTGCTTATCATGCTTCTGTCTCTCCACCTACCTCTTTATCACTCGCCCACACGGGGGAGCTATTTCACCACGACCTGCTTCTATAATTATCTGTGTCTGTCATTTTGTCTCAAAAGCAAATAGACCAACATGCTTGTATTCAGGTCTAGCACATATGTAGTTGAGTGATTATGATGCTGTTGTTTTTTTTCTTTTCAAGAAAACACTTCTTTGATAAGAGACGAGTCGTTTTCTTTTGTGTCCCACCTCGGAGTCTAAGGACACAAATCCTAAGGGATCCCTTAGATTTCATTACTGGGGACGTAGTCCCGATTTACTCGTAATACTTCATGACTGCTTTCCGTCTCAAAGGAAGTGCCAGCAGCAGAGACGCAGGGTGGTCTCCGTAGAGGAAAGATCTGGCAGTCATTGTTACATCTTTTGTGGGGAAGATGTGCAGAAACACACACGCCAGGCAGTTAACACAGAAAGATGCAGCGATAAGTGGATGACAGAGCTTCCAAAATCTAACTGGAAGAAGCAGCGTTTGGATATTATTTTTGGTTAATGTATTTAGATCAGTTGCTTATACTAGCCCAACTTATTAATTTTTTCTAATTTTTCCCGTATCATTCTGCCTGGGAAGACTTGATCTAAATGTCAAAGGGCACATAACAGTATTTATTGATATGCCACTTTATTTTCAGGCTCCTAATTGACATTCATTATTAAACAGTGGTGTGATTCCTAGTCAAAGCATTTAATTAAATTTTAGTGAAATAATCTTTCTTACCCAGAGCGAGGAAAATTATTTCTTTCAGAAATCAAAAGATGATTTCCTTAAACATCAAAATGAATCATTAAGTAACTTTGAACCAAGATAAAATAGTCCACCGTCCTGAGTCCTTTTGAAATACAGGTGTTCCTTCCCTCACTGCTCATTTTAATATCTCCTTGATTTAAAGATTATTTAATTAAAACTCTCAGAAAACTAGCAGACTAATAGAGACTGTGAAATAATAAGCTACAAATAAATAATAGCTCCACGCATAAACAGGTGATTGAAAATTATATTCACTCATCATGAGACCTTTGATATAAAACAATAAGGATTCTTTGATTGCATCAGATCATAAAGAGCCAAAGAAAAGCTTGGTAGAGAAGTGACTCTCTAGAATATTCTGTGCACTAGCTCGTCTGTTAATAAGGGAAGGAAAGCAAGGCTTTGCCAGTAGGTGGTGCTTTTGTATAAAACATCACGCACAGATTAACTCATTTCTGCCACATTTTATAGCCCCGTAGTCAACCTTCAGTCCCTCTTGTGCATCTCCAAAAATCCCAGCCCACGTCACCCCCACTTTGTTCTCAAAAGCACACGTCTGTTCCCTCGCTGCTCCATGAGGAGCAGCCTAATTGTGCTCGTTCGGAGACAGGCTTGGTCACCTTTGTTGAAAACCTTTGTTGAAAATGGGTGTGTCCGGTAGGGTTCATTCCTGATGGAGATTCTTTGAACCAAAAAGGCTCCTGGACCTGGCAGTGTGGTCAAGAGATGCTGGCTGTGGCCGTGGCTGTCTGTGCAGGCAGGATGCTAGGGCAGTGGCAGGTGGCTCTATCCTGGTCAGAGTACTTATTCACAGCAGGGCTCCGTGCCACCACTCTCCCTCTTCCATTATGGAGTAATGATGTTCCCAGGGCAGAAATGAGGAGTGAGGGTTATAGGATATAGCAATGGCCACGACTGCCTACACTGTGCCCTTGTCCTCGCAGCATGAATGCATCAACCCAGGGTAGGTGATGAGAGGAGAAATGAATGCCCTGAAAGTCCAGTTGTCTTGCGGCCTGTAGTAGAATGGAAAGGCTAAATAGTGTTAAGTCTTTACGATCAACGCTTTCTCCAAAGATTTGGAGCTCCCTCTCCCAGGTTCCCTTTCTTCTCCCCCACCAAGCCAACCCTCAGATGTGGGTGACTGTGTAGCCCTCCATGGGTTCTGTTGCATTTGAAACTTGAACTCTCTTCGACTCTCAAAAACCTTTGCAACTCCTCTTGTACGCACTCAGCCCATTGGAAGGAAGCACGTATCTCAACCCACTGGGTTCATTCAGGCATTGTTAGTCCACCAAGAAGATCCAGTTCAAAGGCCCAGAGGTGTGTCTGACAGCTTAGGGCCTTCCCTCTGGGAACTTGTCTAGGGTAGAAACACCACAGCTGCCTCCTGTCAGAAACTTCTCTGAAAGAGTGCCCCGTGTATGGCGGGAGCCTCCTGAGCACCTGGGCCAGGCGCAGCGTGGTGGCCTCAGTGGCCCTAAGCAAGCAACGCTCCTGAGCACCCCCAAGCCCACCATAGGCAGCCTAGGCATGCTCCGGTGTCTCTGCGAGTCTTGAAGCTGATGTGTGATGTAATTGTGAGTTCCTGGGGCCTCCAGGCCTCCTCCGTCTGTAACTGGGTTTCCTTTCCTCCTACAGAGCTTGCACTAGCACTCATTTATCTCAGAGTTCAAATCTCTCCCTGCCTTCTACTCAAAGCCTCAACATCAAGTCAGAACCTGTTTCTCCTCCTAGAGACCGTACCACCACCCCTTCGAGATACCCACCACACACGCGCCACGACGCGGGGAGGTCTCCTGTTGACAGCTTGAGCAGCTGCAGCAGCTCGTACGATGGCAGCGACCGAGAGGATCATCGCAACGAATTCCACTCCCCCATTGGACTCACCAGACCTTCGCCGGACGAAAGAGAAAGTCCCTCGGTCAAACGCATGCGACTCTCTGAAGGATGGGCGACATGATCACATATTACTTACTAGTTTTTTTTTTTTTCTTGCAGTGTGTGTGTGTGCTATACCTTAATGGGGAGGGGGGGTCGATATGCATTATATGTGCCGTGTGTGGAAAAAAAAAAAAGTCAGGTACTCTGTTTTGTAAAAGTACTTTTAAATTGCCTCAGTGATACAGTATAAAGATAAACAGAAATGCTGAGATAAGCTTAGCACTTGAGTTGTACAACAAAACACTTGTACAAAATAGATTTTAAGGCTAACTTCTTTTCACTGTTGTGCTCCTTTGCAAAATGTATGTTACAATAGATAGTGTCATGTTGCAGGTTCAACGTTATTTACATGTAAATAGACAAAAGGAAACATTTGCCAAAAGCGGCAGATCTTTACTGAAAAAGAGAGCAGCTGTATGCAACATATAGAAAAAAAAATTAAATAAAATGTATAAAAGTTTGGACAGACCCAGCTGTGGGTGGCCATTCGTAAAAATTAGGAATATGCCTGGTCACCCAACATTCGAGCGTGCTCGCAAACCTGCAGTATGGCACTCATTGAAAAGGATCAAAGACCATTAAAAGAGGACCATACCTATCTTACAAAAAAAAAAAAGCAAAAAACAACCAAAAAACATACAAAACATGTGGAGTTTGAGGGCTGACGTATTTAATTAAATAAAGAAATCTGGGTCTGCATCTCTTATTAAATAAAAATATAAAAATATGTACATTACATTTTGCTTATTTTCATATAAAAGGTAAGACAGAGTTTGCAAAGCATTTGTGGCTTTTTGTAGTTTACTTAAGCCAAAATGTGTTTTTGCCCCCTCGATAGCTTCGCTAATATTTTAAAACAGTCCTGTAAAAAAACCAAAAAGGACTTTTTGTATAGAAAGCACCGCCCTAAGCCATGAAGAACTCATGCTTTGCTAACCAAGATTACTGTTTTCTCTTTGTAGAAGTTTTGTTTTTGAAATGTGTATTTCTAATTATATAAAATATTAAGAATCTTTTAAAAAAAAATCTGTGAAATTAACATGCTTGTGTATAGCTTTCTAATATATATAATATTATGGTCATAGCAGAAGTTTTGTTATCTTAATAGCAGGGAGGGGAGTATATCTGTGCGGTTGCACATTTGAGTAACTATTTTCTTTCTGCTTTCTTTTACTCTGCATACATTTTATAAGTTCAAGGTCAGCTGTCAATAAAAGGATAACCTGTGGGGTTAGAACATACCACATCGCAACACCCTAAGTTGTTTCGAATACCTTAGCCATCCGTTGGGTCACCGGACATCCATTGCATATACTATTTGGTTTCTTTCATGCAACTTTTGTCTTGTGTTTTGCATTTTTACCAAATGCAGGGCCCTTTTCTGACCTCATCATTTCACCATGCCTCTTGGAATCCAGTAAGTGCACACCCTAACTTGCCCATTTCCAAAGTCTTGTGGTTGGTTTTCAGCCTAGAATTTTTGACATGCTCTTTAGAAATATGCCCAGAATAGAGAAGCCAGCCCGGGGTTCTTGTCCTGCAGACACGGCCCCACAAGCAGGTGGTAGAGAGTATTCAATGAAGACCAGATTCCCACAAAAGACGGATGGGAAAGCCTGGGTGCTAGACAAGAAAGAAGCAGGGATAGGGAGGGCTAGTTGCTTCGTCATCCAGTTTTAATTATTTTAACTGACCCTTGACAATCTTGTCAGCAATCTAGGAATGTTTGGAACAATGTCGATGTGTCAGGACCCCCACATGTCACTTCTGCATAAGCATGTATGTCATTTTTTCTTCAATAAAGAGATTTAATAGCCATTTCAAGAAATCCCATTAAAGAACCTCTCTATGTCCCTTTTTTTTTTAATTTTCCAAGGCGATATAACTCTTGTCTAGTTCTCGTCTATAAGGGAATCATCTTCAGGCCCTTTAAAAAGTGAGTGCCATAAAGAGAAAATTTAAGTTAATGTATTGTTTAGAAGCTATTTTAGTCCAGGAATGATTTTTCTTCTCTTGGAATGTGAAGATCTGTCGATTCATCTCCAAACACGAGTATTAACATACACAGCAAAGATACAAAGAGATCTCTCAGCACAGCTCTGTCGCGTGCAGGCCATTTCTTAGCCGTCTGTGTTTCCTTTCACTTGCATAGCTGCTATGCATGTCTCGTTGTAACCGGCTGCCGCTGGGTGGCAGAAGCCGAGACCTTATTAACTAGGCTATATTTTTCTTAACTTGATCGGAAATCCACAATTAGACCACAGTGCACCTTAGGTTGTATCCATATGGGATGCTAGCCTGCCTTGTACTAACTGATGTTTTATATGCTTAAAAAAAAAAAAAGGAAAAAAAAAAAGAATCTATCAACCATTTGTTATATATCCCACTCTCAAGGTATCCATGGAACATGAAATAGCACCATTTATGCAGAGGAAAAGCATTAAAACCATCCCTGAAAATACACTCTCTCGCACACACACGCAGGGGCGGGGGGAGAAAGAAGAAAATCATTTTCCTCACCACAGACTAGGTGTCATCTTTCTGTCAGTCCATCCTTATCACTTGATGTGTATAAAATATGCAAACATGTCACAAATGTTCTTTGTCATTGGAAAGCATATTTTTTTTCCTTTATCGGTAAAATTGTACCAGTGGGTGGGAAGGGTCATGCTACAAAAATCTGAAGAAATAGCCATATTAATTTTTTTGTACCTGCAATTTGCCTCAGCAACCAAGAAAAGGTGAATTTCTGATGCTGAGGATAAAGCAAGCGAAAGTACCAGCAAAGCCTTGGCTATTTATAGCAGTTCTGACAATAGTTTTATAAGAACATGAAAAGAACAGAATCGCTTAAAAATGGATACCGGACATCTCTTGTTCCCAATGCCTGGTCTCGTAGTTAGAGGTGGCAAGATAGTGGAGTGATAACGGGAGCATTTTTTTAAAGATGATTTAATGAGAAGAAGCACAATTTTGCTTGTGAACAGTCACTTTCTGTAAACAATTGCTGTCTATCTTTACCCTTATACCTTACCTGGAACTCACCACTAATTGTATCTGCAAAGTTAACCCGGTTTTTTAATAGCAACAAATCCTTTGTATTCAGGCGGTCAGGGCGGAGCCCTGTGGGCGTGCTATTTTGCATAATCCAAGTAATGTTGTAGGCAACATTCTCCATTGCAAGGGAAAGACCTCTGCGTGGCACTTACACAGCTCCAAGTCTGTTCCATCTAATCCTGTTCTCAAGGATTTGGTACTAGTAACAGTGATACAGATCACATCAGTTACACAGCCTGTATATTGTACGTGTTGGTGCCTGGACGCTGTTCATTTCAACCTTTTTTAAAATTGTGTTTTTAGTAAGATGATTTATTTTTTTTCCCAAAAGTGGAATTTAGCATTTTGTAATGATGAATATGAAAATACCTGTCATCCTCAGATCATTGAATGCTTAACTAAAGGATAAGAGACTCCAACACACTTTTTCAAAGAATGTTTGCCCTCGTACACACATGCATTTTTTTTTTACGCACCCATCTTGAGAATTAGGTAGCTTTTGTTTACCCCTTTTTTGCTTGTGTTTGTGTTTCCAAAGTAAATGCTTTGTATTTATTTCTTTATTTCAAAAAAAAAATTTTTTTAGAAGGAACAGCAGCCACTAGGACCCTCAGTAGAGGCTGTTGTCTGAGCACGGATCATTGCAGCCGCCCTCACCCGTGCCATCTGTGGTGGGGTTGTCACTTGCATGGCGTTAATTCCCTGCCATTCCAGATCTCTGGGAGATGGCTGGGATGCTGTGTGTGTTAGCATGCCTCAGACACAGATGTAATCAACACTTTTTCGTAATGTTTTAACCAAAGATGTGGAGCAATCCGAGCCACATACTCTTCCACATTCAATTTGTCCGTTTCGGCCATTCGCCCGGTCGGCGTTGCACTTTCGCCTTCCCTGTTCGTTCCTCAGATTGAGTCATACCTCAATGTCATTCCGAGCAATCAGCTGAGTGGCAAGTTCAGTTGGGGCTGAGTGCAGTGTGCCAGGGAAGTCTTGGGTCACCGTAGGCAGAGGCCTTGGATTGCTTCTATCGATCATTGGCTATATCATTTATCTTCCTTTTCTTTTCCTGGGGACTCGTTTCCATTCAATGGCAGTCATGACAATAGCTTGTCAATGAGGGCATACAAGCATTTGCAACAAATATTCAACTAACGGCTCACAGCGGCATAAGCTGGACTTTGTCGCCACGAGATGACAAGATGTTATAACGAAGTTAAACCACATCTGTGTATCTCAAGGGACTTAATGCAGCTGTCTGTAGTGAATCAAAGTGGGAAATTTTCACAAGTTTCTCCTGCTGGAAATAAGGTATAATTTGTATTTTGCAGACAATTCAGTAAAGTTACTGGCTTTCTTAGTGATCCAGTGTCCGTGGTGCATTTTTTTTGATAATTGATGTTTTGCTCTTCACATTTTTCATGTTTCTTAAAAGCAGCCTTCTCATAAGCCCAAAGGAGCTTTCCCGGTTTCCAGCTCAGAATGTGCAGAAAGCCAGATGGGTGGCCGCTGGTGTAGGGGCTTGGGGATGGAGGTCCTTTCATGGTGAGATTTCTTCAGCCGCCGTGGAGAGGTTAAAGTTTTTTAGGTTTTGTTTCTTGTTTCTGGGTTTGTTTGTTTATTTGTTTGTTTGTTTGTTTGTTTTATCAAGAGGCTCACCTTTATATATTTCCTTCAGGGTCACTGATTTTTAATCAACATGGAAAGCAAAGGACTAGACAGGGATCTGCCATCCACCGATTCTCTCTCCCAGTGCCCAGAAGAACAAGCACTGAACCAAACCACAGCCGGGAGGCAGGCACTCAGTCTGGCCTCCCATCTGAGTGGGTGGCAGGGACTGAGTAATGGAGCTAGCGTCCGTTACCTTCCAAAACGGATATTAGCAGGAAGCCAATGGAGGCAAAGGAGCTGGGACTCCAATGTGAGCTGCAGACACCCCAAGCAGGTGCCTAACTTGCTGCACCCTGAGGGCCAAAGCTTGCATCTAATTTTACAAATTTTTCAGGTTGCATTAAGACCTTTGATAACCTACATAGATGTGCAGGGTTTGTCCAAATTCGGTGTGACAATACAACTATGAAAACAGGTTATTTTTTTTAATAAAATGCTAAAACTGTCTCCAGAAGCATTCTTCTGCATCAAGAGATTTTTAATCAAAAAGACTATTATCGTAGGAGTAATGAATTCATAAATACTTTTAAATCTAGAAAATTTATCCACTGCCAAAATTGGATTATAATCTCTAAAAGGGATGTCCTTGAAGAGGCCGATATAAGGATTAATTTGGAAAAGGAAAAACAAGGGTGCACCTGCTTACCAGCTAACTGGCAAACATGAATTTTTGAATTAATAGTGAGCCCTGCTCTGGGAAAAAAAAAAAAAAAGAATGAAGTTCAGGACAATATGCCTGTCACTTCAAAAGCAGCAATAATCTTTGTTCTGTTTTCTATTTGTTTTCAGCAAATAGTTACTAAACTGTTATTCTGTGTAATTCCTGGTGGATTCCAGGATGAACAGGGATGCAGCCGTGGCCCGTAGGATGCATAGGCTGACAGAAACTGGAACAGTTTAGGAAGCACAACAGGTGCAACCACTTTCACCCTGAATGAGAGGAGAGGCTCAGAGCTCGGACCCTACATGAGCTAGCACAAAGAGGCATCTGCAGTGGGCTGTGGATGGGATGTGCAGGATTGAAAAAGGCACCGAAGGAGGAGGGCAATGCAGACCCGGGAGACCTGTGACTCCTACAGTCACACACACACACTCTCACATCACCAACATAACCCTACTGTAAAAAAAAAAAAATGATAAAAGGAATCAGCAAAATCTTGCTGTCTTTTTTTTTTTCATCACAATGTGCTTTTTACAGCTTTCCTTAGGAACATCTCATTCTTGCCCAAAACACAAAGTGGTATGCCTCTACTTTGCTGAACCTGTGCTCACGATGTGCTCTCGAGTCAGCACGCTGACATTCTCCATAACGTTATCTGAGCTGTGCTTGTGAGAGCCAGCAGGACAATCCGTCGTGTACCTGAGCAGATGACGTACGCCTGGAAAAGTGTGAAAAGCTCCATAGTTCAATGTTCTTTACAGAAGGCATTTTCCCTTCTTCTCCAACAAAGACTCCAACATTTTAATTTGTCCTGAGTCCTGCAAATGATGGTGGCAGCCCTGGATGATGGCAGCCTCCATGGATGAAACAGTGGTTATAGAAGCACAGCATTGGAAAAGCGAGAGAAAGATTTGCTAAAATTAAGTGTCAGGGGCAGCCAGGGACAGGACTAGAAGAGTTCACTGGAGTCCAACTACGTAATTGCAGTCTAAGAAAGCTGGGGTTTAATCAATTAATTGACAAATTTAGTAGAGTTAGAATTATCTGAACTCAGCGAACAGTTAAGATAATGGGTGGAGTGATGGTAGATAAGGAATAGTTGACTTTATGGTCTTAAGGTAAAGTCTTTAAAATCCTAGTACTGTCCGAATTGCAAAGGGAGAGATCATTGCTTTGTGAGGAAGGTGGTGAATTCAGTGTTCACTGTGCTGGGTTTGGTGAATATCCATGGTCATGTTGTGAGTACAGATTTGACCTTATGGTATGAGCTAATGCTGAAGCTAATAGGGCAGTCACGGTAAAACTCTTGCCTGTGCATGAGTTGGTCCAGGGGCAGGGAAAGGAAAAAAGAGTTTTGTTAAGAAGCACAAGTGAGAGAGGGAAGCCGTACGGAAGAGAAGGAACCAGTGAAGGCATCAGGAAGGAGCAGCCAGGCAAGAACAAGTGTCCCCAAAGCAGAAAGAAGTCTCCAAGGCAAACGCGGACATAACTCAACAGTCGAGTGCAGGATTGCAGCCTGGGGGTGGGGGAAGGAAGGATGCTGCCCGGTGGTGGGAGATCCCTATGCCATTCAGTGAGATGCTGGCAGCCAGGAGAAAAAAAGACAGCTGTTCCAGTAGGAGGTGCAAAAGCAGCAAATGTGGACTGTTGCTGCACAACCTTTGGTAATCAGAAGAGCTGCCCTGAGGGGCTAGCAAGGTCAAGAATCAAGAGCACATTTCTAGAAAAGAAGGTGCTACCTGAGCTTGCTCACAGACTGGAAAGACCTAGAAGAACAGAATAGAGACTGGGCCCATTCTAACTCATCGTGGGAGGGCAGCACCTGCCACCCCCGAGGTCCCCTTTGGACCTGGAACTTTGGACATCTAGATTAAACGGATTGTTTGAATGGGACAAAGGAAAGGTCTCCAGAACAGAGCACATGAGCTTTCTTTTCTGTGAGTTGAGGAAACCTTTTCCCCATTGTGTTTGGGTATTACTACATGTCACCCTCACTGATTGGTTTCTAAGCAAAAATCCAATGATGAAAGAGGAAAGTCAAGTACATGCCCCTGCTAGGTGTCTCCCTTGAGTTTTCTGTGTTCTGAAAGCAGCTGTGACCATCACCAATGGCGAAGGTGCTCATTGAATCGCCCCTCTTTGCCTTGGACTGACTTAGGGAGTCATGGAAAATGCTCCAGGTGACTGGCCATCAGCTAGCTCCTGGCTTGTGTAACAGCCAGACTGCTCACGTATCAGTTCCATCACATCTCCTATATCATGGCTGGATCTCCACTCTTGATCCATTCCCAGCAGCCATCTCTTCTCTCCATCAAAGATGTTCATCAACTTGTTGAGAGTGGTGGCTCGGCCTAGGGGCCAAGCTGACAAGGAGGAAGAAATGTGAACTGCCCCTATGGTGTTAGAAATAGTTGGAAGGCCTTGTCCTTTCTCATGACCCACACTGCCCCTAACATAAAGAGAACCAGTGCCAGAAGTTTGCAGTTTCTCAGGGACCAACTGAAAAAGCAGCAGCTGAGGCTGATGCGTGAGTGAGGCCCAGACTCTAACAGCTGGCCTCTTCTGTGCCATGGACTTGACCTACGTTACCTTACCTAACCTGCTCAACTTTCTGTGTCCGTAACAATTCACTGACATGGCCTGCACATTGTATTACTTTCTGGTACATCTTAATTCATCAGCTAAACTTCCAGGTAAGATTTGAAAGAGTCACAATAATTCCTTGCACTCTGCCCCTTCCATTCCTATGCATTGGACTATCCTGCTTTATGTTCTTTGTGTATACTAAGTCCTACCTCTAGATGGTACTGAAGAAATTATTTAACCAAATCAAAAAATATTATCTCAGGCTAGCAGTGCAGTGTAGTACATTAAGCCTCTGCCTGCAGTGCTGGCATCCCATATGGGCCCTGGTTCATGTGCATCCCATATAAACCCTGGTTCAGCTGCTCTACTTCTGATCTAGTTTACAGCTTACAGCCTGGAAAAACAACACAAGATGGCCTAAATCCAAGGCCCCTGCATCCACATGGAAGACCTGAATGAAGCTCCTGGGCCTAAGCAAGACCCGACCATCTCTAACCACTGTGGCCATTTGAGCAGTGAATGAGCAGATAGACAAGGGGCACACAGGCCAATGCCTTGATGCTGGACTCTCTGCCACCGAGCACACCTACAATGTCAGGATACACTTCAATAGCAGAATGATGGGCTTAACAACTGTTTATATACTATGATAGTATATCATAGTGTATACTATGATCATAGATCCTAACATAGGGGGAATCACTGTGAGGAGCGGACTTAAGAAAAGGGGAGGGGAAATCCCAGAGCCTGTGGAACTGTATCATAAAATAATAACACAGGTAAATAAATAGATAATGAAAATTTTATTTAAAAAAAAAAAAAGCAGAAGAAGAGAGGATTTGAACTTCCATCCACTAGTTCACTCCCCAAATGCCTACAACAGCCGGCGCAAGATCAGACTGAAACCAGGAACCTAGTGAATGGAAGTTCTCTGTGTATGTGTGTGAGTTTCTCTTTATCTACCGCCCTCCTCTATCGCTGCCTCTCCAACAAACAAGCAAAAAACACACAAGTTTGCAACACCAACCAGCAAGAATATCTATAACCAGAAGTAGGCCATATTTATGTATTGCTTTAATTTATTAAAACAGTCATGACCAGTATACCCCTGTCTTCTGCCAGTTTGCATCAAGGGGTTCTCATGCAGACAATAATTGTAGCACATGGGTTATTATCAACGGAATTATAGAGGGCACGCACTTCGCCTAGCAGTCGGGATGCTGTGTAAGATTTCTCATACCACAGTGCCTCATATCAGCACCTATCTCTGGCTCCTGACTCCACTTGCTGCTGATGAGAACTCTACGAGGCCACCGTGGTAGCTGACCCTCAACCAGGAGGGAGACTGGGTTGTGTTCTCAGCTGCCAGCTTCAGTTGGACCCAGTCCTAGGTTTGTAGGCATCTGGGGAGTGAACCAGTGGATGTGAGCCGGTGTCCTCACTCTT